TTTGTGATTCCATATTTTGCTGCTAAAACTGCAGCTCTTTCAGCTACTGTGCAGAGTGTGTAGATATCTCAAAGAGAAAACTGAGTAGGGAGACAGATTTGTGTGTGGGAGAGGTTAAAGAGAGAAAAGGGATAAAGCTTTATCTTCAAGCTTGGGTTAATGCTGTATCACCAACCATCCTAACCATCTTAACATGTATTAGTCTTGAGAGAAGTACATGTTTTTATCAGGACATATGGTGGCTTTGACCCTATGGTTACAGTCTGTGTTGTGAAGTAGTACCTCCTTGGTTAGGAATGTGTTGTGTGAGGAACAGAGGGAGAGGACCTGGCTATGAGGCATTTCCTTTCTGCCTGCCTGTGAAACTTGATCTTGACCAGAATTGTTTGTAAGGAAGTGGTCATTGTGCCCTTACTAGATGTCCGAGGTTCCACTGCTTCTGTGGCAGTTATTCTCTCTGCTTGGCCAGGTCTCTGTGTTTGCTTCACTGTCTTCCCCCCCCCCTTTGTCCCTTTTTACTTCCTCTCATGTTTTTTTTGGTTTGTTTTTTTACATTGCAACTTGGACTCATCCAGTAGCACTGAGCTCACTTGCTGTTTCCCTGTAAAGTGACACGACTCACTCAGTGTTTTCATAACTATTTCTTTCTATAGTCAAGTCATCCGTATCTGGTCTTTGACCATTTATATGACTCATATATTTTCACAGTGATTTTATTGTGTCTTTACCCTGTCTTCGCATTGTTTGCTACACCCATACCCATTGTACTTTAACATCTGTCTAACACCATCACTTCCTCTTTCCCCCTCCCTTTTTCTTCCAGGTGGGTGGAGCTGCTGTGTTGGGTGTAGGAATCTGGACACTGGTGGAGAAGAGCGACTACTTGAGTCTGCTGGCGTCCAGCACTTTTGCTGCCTCAGCGTACATCCTCATCCTGGCAGGCAGCCTGGTGGTGGTTACTGGCTTCTTGGGCTGTTGTGCTGTGATCCGGGAGCAGAGGAGCTGTCTGTCTGTGGTGAGACATGAGGCCCGCAGAGGGGGTTTCTACTTGTTCATGTGCAGGTGTATGGTCTACTGTCTATGTGAAGAGATATAAATTTTAACCACTCCCATTAAAAAAAAATTACATTGTTAGCATTTAATTTTGCCACCTAAATTCATGATGTTATACAAAGTTCATTGCCTTTATTTTTTGTTTTCTGACATGATCTTAGAGGCTCTTACCATAATCCAAAATGTGTTTTCAGCTTTCCGGCTGTGAAAAGCTTTTTCTGCATTGCATGGTGGGACAATAGTGTCCAGCAACAACATACTTACAAACCAGGAGTTTTTTAGCTTGCACTCTGGGAGCTGTTAGTGTACACAATTTCTCAGTGTGAGTGCTCATATCACCTATGCACCAGTATAACTACTGGTCTCCAGTCTGTCACTGGATGCTGACAAATGACTCTGACATGGCCCCTACTGTTCTCATTATTTCACAGAGTCAGGGCACAGTTGGAGAGAAGCAGGCAGAAGGTGAACGTTCACTGCCGCAGGGCTATTTATAGGCCTATATATCTACTGCTGATGGATGGAGCAGTCGGAGAGACAGCAGGGGTTGCAGGAGTGAAAATGTGGATGTGTAGAGAATTTTAGAGTTTGTGGTGCATTTTGGTTGAATATTAACTGTATATGGTGTGCTATTTATAGATTAGCTTTGGGAGACTGAGTGAAGCCAGCATGTTAAGTGTGTGTGAAGGGGTGAAGTTAACTTTTTGTGTGGGCAGCAAACACTGGAGTATTTTTTGAAATACTGTAACCAAGAGACACAGTGCAGTCTGTGTTTCTGCATGGTATAATTACTGCCATAATTGGAAGGCAGAGGACATTTGTTAAATATTAAATCACTATATTTAATGCTGTACAGTTTGCCATCAATTTGCTGCATTGCACAGGGTGGGTATCAGCGCCTGTCTCTCTGTCATGGTCTTGAGTGAAGCGGTGCTGGTTTTGCTGTCAAACTGGTGTATCCTGCTCTGCGCCAGGTGGACCTAATTAATCCTGTGTATGGTTGAATTATGTAGCATGGCCCATGTTTGTGTGGGGTATTGGGACCATTTTCTGAACAAAGACATTTCTGCTTGTCTTGTTTGAGTCTAGAAAAGCTGTAGTGCTGATGTCACTCATTCCGCCACAGTCTATTAGAGCGCTCTTAATTGTGTGGGCCATCTGCTTGCTACATAACTATGCCCTGCATTTCAGTGCACACCATAGTGCTTATTGTCAAGGATGAAGCTTTAAATTAGAGCCACAGTGTTTATTTTTGAGTGTCATTTTTATTTTTACCTTCTGAGGTGTTGACTTGTTTTAATTAGTTACAGGTTAGTTACACTAACCTGAATTCTGACTCTTTGTATTCATTGGTTTCCAAAGGAATACAAATGCATCTTTTTACTGTGGTGATGGTTCTTAATTTCAGTTTTGTCACAGTAATGTTTTAAAGTTAATTATGATAAATAATTGAACGGATTCAGTCATCTCCTTAAAAGTTTCCTGAGAGAAATCATATTCTACAGCCTGTGAAATTGCTTTCTGGTTGTGTCTTTTTGTGCAGCTTTGCCATATTGTGTTAGAAGTGACAGATGTAACACAATGACAGTTGATGGAAGTTTTTATTGAACTGTCACGAGTGTGAGTGGCGTCCTCAAATGAGTTACCTCATGCGACAACTGTGCCGAAGCTGAAATGCCTTGATGAATTGAAGTTTTTTTGTCTAATTGATTGAATTGCTGTCTTCATTGCTCGCTCGCTCTCTGTCCCTTTTGTCCTCCACAGTATTTCGTCTGCCTGTTGTTGGTCTTTTTGATTGAACTGGTGGCTGGAGTACTGGCCTACGTATACTACCAGAGGGTAAGTAAGCACTATTGATTATATACTAGTTGTGTGTTGCTTTACAACAAATATTCAGACAGATAAAGAAAGTTCAGTAGAGTGGCGAAGGGCAGCATTAACTGCAAAATAGCTAAAGCTCGCCAGTGCTGACTTTTTTTTTTAGCATACTCAGTTGTCAAGATGGCAGAAAGGAAGTAAGGCGACCAATTTTTATTGTGTTGTTTCTGACATACACTCTACATCTTTTGGCCTCACCTTAACTTTGCTGCATTTACGTGATGTCCATTAAGCTTGCTGACCACATCTAACTGCCTCCCAGGAGAACAGGTGATATGAGAAGGGAGACCATGTTTGTGACTATGACCGTTGACTATGCTTAAGTGTCAATGAGTATTGCAGTGTCAGGGCCCTTGCCTTCCCTAATGAAGAGATGTGAATAAAACTTTACCCTTAAGAAATGAAAGTGTCATTTGTCATCCTGTTAACAATACATAAATGCAGACAAACCTATGAAACAAGAAAATGCTGTTCACTATGAGTTTTTCTTTCTAAGTGTTGGGTTAACTTACCTTCTCAGAATAGCCTCAGATGCATACAGTGGACACAGACACCAGGATATTATTACATACATTGAAAATGTTAGCAGTTCAGTTTATAGCTTGCTAGTCCCTAATTCCTTCAAATGAATCTGTACTGTGTGGAAATTCCTGTTTCTTGTCTAGTCTTATGTGACCCCCTTGGGATCTCAGCCCAGTACTTAGCTTTATTTATCCTTGTGTGAGAAGGTTTGCCAGTGGTCTTTTACATCTCATGGGATATGGGTGATGAGTCACAGAGTCTACAGTCGATCCTGTACCTTTGACTTTGTGCTGATATTTTTTTCTGTGTGCCACCTGCACTAAGCATTATGTCCAGTATCTGGAGTTTATCCACTGGAACACACAGTACCTATCTTACAAACATCGCCTGGAACACACAGTACCTATCTTACAAACATCGCCTGTCAGGACTGCAGAGAGTATTGTGCTGTCTGCGGGCAAGCTCAGAGATTTATTATGATGAAAAAGGGTTCAGCAAAGGATAGAACCACTTTATAGATGCTGTAGGGCTGTCAGCCAATTTCTCTCTTGTTTCTTGTCTCTCCTCTATGGGTATGTGTGTGGATGCACACACAATTACACTGCAAAGGCTATATTAAAAGTATTTTTTTGCAATATGTTTTTTTTAACATGCTTCATGTGTAATAAACAAAGCAGCTTATGATTGCTAAATAAATTGTTTTCTCCCATAAATACCCTTTTCGGTCTCACTGTGTGTGTCTGCTGTTTGTCTTTCTCTGCTCATTTCCAGCTGAGTGAGGAGCTCAAGCAGCATCTCACCCAGACAATGACAGAGAACTATGCCCAGCCAGGGAAGGAGACCATCACATTAGCTGTGAACAGCCTACAACAGGATGTATGGACTATATTTACAGGTTTAGTTTAGTTTATGTAAGATTATATGTTGCACTTTTCTTGAGCAAGCATGGTCAAATAATATCATTTATTGTCAAAAAGGCATTTTCCATGAATCTGCCTGCAGCTACATGTGAAGTCGTTTGAAGTATGTTGACATTAAGTTGAAGGAATTGCTCATAGCTTGGTGTTATCCATTGAGTTTTGCAAAATGTATTGTTAGAGCTATAGGTAAAATCATTTTAAGTCTGAGTGAAAGACAACACCCTTTGGCTGCACAAATGTTTTTTATTTTATTTTATTTGAGGAAGTCATTTGAGGTAACATTTTAAGTCTGAGTGAAAGACAACACTCTTTGGCTGCACAAATGTTTTTTTTAATTTTATTTGACGAAGTCATTTGAGGTAAAAAAAAAAAATTGAATTAAACCTTAAAAAAGGCACAGTTATTACATTAAAAAGAGGTATCTGTGCTTTCCTTACCGATTGTGACATAATGAAACTAAAACCTTCACTGTCCTCTTTCTGCCTCTAGTTCAAATGTTGTGGCAGCAACAACTCCCATGATTGGATGGCAAGTGTGTACATTTCATCAAAGCAGGCAGAAGGCAGGGTGGTACCTGATAGCTGCTGTAAGACCATCACTCCTTATTATTGGGGCAGGAGAGACCACCCCTCCAACGTCTACAAAGTGGAGGTCAGTGGACTACACACATTTGAAAAATGTTTAAAAAATCTAAAAGACATCCTGACATTTCAGCTCAAGGCACTTGTTGAATGAAATAGTAAGAAACACAGAAAACCCTAGTCAATCTTTTCTCTGACAGAGTAAGTTTTCTGAAAATAAATCTGTTTTATCTATTCTGTTTATGTTGTTTCACATTTCTGTAGGATGTCCTCTTGTTTGCCGCAGTGTGTTCAATGTTTGCTCAGTGCTATGCATTGTATGTTCTATACATTTTTAACTTTTGAGTGTGCAGGGTGGTTGCATCACTAAGCTGGAGCGCTTTCTGGCAGACCACCTGTTGGTCATTGGTGCTGTGGGAATAGGAGTGGCCTGTCTGCAGGTAAGTAAAAGTTAGTGTCATTGAGACAGTTTTTGAGATAGCAGTTTACTACGTTGTACTCTTCATGCCCTTTGTTGAATAAAACCTTTGAAGAACCAGACAGATGTGCTTTAATCTTAATCTGCAGTTTTAAAAATGACAGTTTTTCTATCTCACCATTATCTCTGTCATCATAACTAGATTTTGTTCTTTTCTGTTATTAGTTTTGTCCCATTCTGAGGTGCACTCAAGCTTTTAAGCCTTACAAAGCACCAGGAGCATACAGGGGAGCCTTTCTAAAATAATAAAATAATGTGCAAGTTGACAGTTTTCTTACAGCTGTGCACCACCTCTTTGGAATAGATTTGAAGGGCAATCAACATACTTGTACTGATTCTTTCCTGAGGTATTTGTAAGAGTGATATGTCTCACCATTCTGCATGCTGTCCATGCAGAAGCATTTTAATTAGTCACTGGAACTGAGAACAAGCCAGATGTCCTGCTGACATAGGGCCTGAGGTTTCCGAAGTTTCCAGCAGCAAAAGAGATCTGTGACATTTAAGACTGTTGACAAGGGAGTAAAAAAATACAGCTATCCATTAGCTGTTGCTGTAATGTGAAGATAGTTTTTCTGCAGGTATTACGCTGAACATATAAATGTGGCGCTGAATACATACATAGAACATAACCTAGAGAAATGCATGTAACACCCAAAATGCTGTGTGAGCCTGTTGATTGTGATTTAACACTTTTTAATTGGTGCATATGTCCTGTCTTTAACTGTTCCAGTTTGTCACAAAGTTTGTATACTGTCCTGTCTCTGGTGACTGTCAGACTGAAATATCACTCTAACCTGTCTATGGTGCATTGTATGTGTTTGTGTGGTGTCACTAGCTGGCAGGGGCAGCCTTGACAGCCTGCTTTATCTATCTGCTCTATAAAGAAGAGGAAGAGGACTTCGGTACATTATGATTTAGCTCTAGAGCATCTTTGTGGTTTAATCAACTGGAGAGACCAGGTTGGAGGGCAATGTAGAAATTTCATTTGTCTGCATGTTTGTCCTTGTGTGACTGTTTGCTCTGTGTTAAATGCAATATCTGTCTACATTTATTAAAGATGAACATATTTATGTTCTTGTGTGATCGTTGCTGAGTGTGACGCATGCAGCTGCCTGGCTTTGGTTGTAAATTACACATTGCATGTTGTGATAATGCTCTGTTAAGGATGATGAGGATGTGCTAACTTGAGAAAGGTTGAACACATCATTAGAATGGCTTGATTAATCAAAGCTTTGCTGCTTCTGCACAGTGATGTGTTTAGCAAGAATCATGTTCTCTGTCTTTAAACAGTCGTGCTTTGATACGATTTCAAGATAAATTACTCTGTTCTGGATATTATTTGTTAGCAGGGTTGGTTATCCTACATAACTGGATGCTTCTTTTTTTTAATGAAATGGAGATAATGCACCACATTCTTAATTTTTTTAATTAACTTATTATTTTTGTGTTCAGATGTTCCCTATTACTGTTTCTTGTAGGTAAAGCCATTGGTGCTGTTGCTATAGTTACTTGCAATCAAAAATAGATTAGGTTATCACAGACAGCGAGTTTGTAGAAGATTGATTCAAATGATAAGTAGAGCTATGTTAAAACAGACGCCTGCTGATGTATCCAGAAAGTGTTTTCTTCTTGAATCAGGCATAAAGCAAACAAAAAGCAGAGACTGCTTTTCTCACTTTTCTCCTATGTAAGCATTCTGAGCTGAAGTGCTAGTCATCTTGAGTGCTTCTGTCCATCAGCCACTGGTGGTGAAGGGAACAAATCAGAAACCTGCTGAAGAGGGATTGTGATGAGTCTATACACAATGCTGACTTGCTCGATAAGGCTTTATCAAAGGGGTTTTAGAGACTCAAATTGAGGTACCAGCCTGTTAAACCAATAAGGCCTGGCAGGCTCAGCGGCTCTGGTAAATATTTGTTCCTGCTTCTGTAAATCATGTCTCAGAGATTTTTTTTTTTATTTAAGTTTGCAAAGAGATCACAATGTCAGATCATGTGCCTTCAAATGAATTTGAAACAACAGTGTCACTTTACAGTGGTTCTGCAACACAGTTTAGTCTAATAGAACCTCATATGGGAATATGGGTGCTTAAAAGCCCTTTCATTTTTATAATTCCCCTTAGTACATCAGAACCAGCTGAAGCATGAAACTACATGGTTCAAGACATTTTTGAAGCTTTTTCTGGGTTAAACCATTTTTGTCAGTGCCAAAATATTTGCACAAGTCTGTTTCTTAACCCTATTGACAGCACTTCATTTATTTCTGCTTGTGCAAGCCTGTGCACACACATTGCTGCAGTAATGGCTGCTTGACTTCTGACATCTCTATAGTTACCAGTTGCATACTTTCCAGAGGTCACATTTAACCCCTTTTTATCCCCACACTTAGTAGCATTCAAGCTTCCTGCAGTCTTCAATGGAAACTGAGTGGGAGAATCTAAGGATCACCACGACATGCAGCTCAGGAGTAGAAAGGGGGAACTGGTTGGGGCCAGGTTAAGTGTTATAAGACACAGCTGTTTGGGCTAGGCTACCAAAAAGTAGCTGACCACCTTTGAAACCTTTCTCAAACATTTGTACGTCGTGGCGGTCCTTTGAGAGTCTCCCATCACTGAGCAGCACTGTTTGACCTAACACTTCCTGTTTTTTTAGATATGTGGAATGGTGTTCACCTGCTTCTTGTACAGAAGGATCAAGTTGGACCCTTACTGAACATACCAGGTCCCCAACACACCACCTTCAACAGGCAGATGGAACAATGACCTGCGGACTCCTAACATCCTCTGAATTTTAAGCTCAGACCTGATGTTCCAGGTCACCCATGTTGCAGTCAGAAACACATTGTGCCATTTACCAAACAGGCTGATTTTTGGTTCCTTTTGTACAGTGTAGTTCTACTGGGCTTTGAACCACAGAGCTTACAGTATACTGACATAAATATCTCTGATTCCTGACTGCCATCTAGGCTTCCTGGAACATCAGCTGTGGCTGCATCATTGCCTTGGCTTAGAGGCATTTTTACTTTGAGCAGCATTTAAGAAAGGGATGTTCTTACTCATTCTACTTTTAAAAAAAATAATTGTGCTGCAGATTCATTTATTATGTTTTCACTGTGCAGATTTGTATGACAAGGATTTTTGTCCATTCCCGCACCTGAGGAATCTTGAGTATGGAAGAGTGGTGTGTACAGTAGTGTCACTGTTAATGAAGAAAGGTACCTTAGGGCTGTATCTTTTTTTGTTTAAACACAATGTGCCTGTTTTAGAATTTTGCTGGTTAATGCTTATGTATTAATCCTGGGCCTTTTTAAAGATAGCTGACAATGCACTGTGATAATGGCAGCAAATAAGCCTAGTTTGTCTCTATATTTGTAGCTACACTTATTTCTAACAATAGCACTAAATATTGATAGTTTTTTTTCCTGAATTAATAAAAAGTCAACATTTAAAAAAAATTATACCTTTAGTCCAATATATTTGAAACTAAGCATTAATGGTAATGCTAAAATGTATGGCTAAAACATTAAGACATTTCCAGACAATCCAGTAAATAAGGGGAAAAAGTGAATCATTTACTTAAACGGATGCCAGATCACTGAATCTGTAGCTCCACCTAGTGGTCAGTAATGGTCACATACTAAACTGTTTGTAGTTTTATGCTGTATCCTGCACTTTGTTCTGATGCCATATAATGAAATTCAAAATGTCATAATATGTTAAAACAGCTTTTTACCTTGATGTGTGTGTCTAAGAAACAAACAATTGAGGTGTTAATTTTTATCTGCAGTTTGTACTGACAGGCAGCTATGATGTTTGCTGGGTCTGTTGTTGATTAGGTTATGACCACAGTGACATAATGCCAAAGGAAGTCAGTGTATTCGCATAGGCCAGAATGGCATGTTTGCCCCAGAGGGTTTTACAGTTTGTACAGTATATTATATTTCACCATAGAGCAGGAGTAGTGAACCACTGGAGGGAGACAAAGATTTTCCATTTGCCGATGCACATGCTTCGAATCGAGTTAATCATCAAAAGATCCTCCTGTTTTCCTGAATATGCTTGTTTGGTCTCACCTGACGCTCATAATAAGAGGATACTCTTACGTGACTTGTTTTCAGATGGAGTGAGATCTCAGGTTCAGACACTGCGACATGATCTTGTTCTTTTCAGCAAGAGAACAATGTGAAAACATTTGGTATGTGTGGACTCTCCCACAGTTCCATATCAGGAAGTCCTTTAGTGTCCCAGTTAAAACCACATTTATTCATGTTACTGTGCAGTTCTGCGTAGTTTTGCTCAGGCAATGTCCTCCATTAAACACATGCCTTGCCCATAGATTGTGTGTGCTGTATTTTGTCGCTGTATGAGTTATTAGTCTTTGAAGCATGACTTTCTTCTTTTCCTTATTTTCCCCTTAGCTCCAGAGTAGTAATAAGTCACTCTTTGTTCAAAGTGATGTATCTTTGTCACCATGTTTTATAAGAGTTTGGATCTCCAAAACTTTGGCTTCAATGAGCCTGTAGAGTATGTCACTCCTTTTGTCTTCATCGGCTATAGGAGGATGGCTCTCATTTCCTGATGATGTCACCCACAATACAATGCAGGGAAAGTGCACACTGATACTGACAGGATAGAAACACACAGTGAGGCTATACACATTAGCATGCAGTTTACACCCTTGGTCAGAAGATACCCATGAGGGAGAATGGGGGGCAGCTGGAGACCGACCACTCCCAATTGTAGAGGCCTGTTTGCATCAGAAACATGTATGCTGCTTACACCCGGCATCATCATCACACTGTAGCCATGGGGGTGATATTTCAGTGGTAAAGCTCAAGAAGTTACTTAAGAACATGTTGCAGTGGCATTGGTCTTTTGACTGTTAGAATGTGTTTTCACTTAGGGCCTCAGTTGTGATTGACTGCTGTTGTGTGTTTAGCATAATAGATGTGTGGGAAAGGACTTATGTAATACAACTTGTGTTGAATGTAGCACTCCTGAAGGTGCACAAGTCTGGTTAAGGGTTCATTGTGTTTACATGGTTGTGGAAACCGCCTCTGTCTGCATTATGATCAGAGAGACAACAAGTGTCCTCTCCTGAATAGATTATATCGATGTCCAATGATTGGGTCTTTAGGTCTTGGCCACTGAAGTTCACTAGACCTGCTTGGAGCCATGTGAACATACTGACGGTGCAAACCGTTCATTGAAAAAGACTTTGAAGTTAGGTCCATCACAATTCCAGACACTCCTGCCAAGGTGGGTCAGATTAGGTTGAATGTCAGTCAGCATTTGGACTTCAAAGCAACATGACAATGAGCATCATTCAAAGAGGGAGGCTAAATCATCTACACAAACTGCAGCTGCATTTGGCAAAAAAAGGCCAAATTATGTAAAAGTTCTATCCAAGAGAACACCTGTCCATTGTAGCTAGTGTGTAACCCTTCACTGTCCAGTAGCTACAACAGAGTAAATGCATTTGTGCTTATTTCTGAAGTTTCAAAAGGAAATTTAGTGATTCAGGTCCAGGCACATTTAGGACCAGAGCAGAACCAGGTTTGTGTCAAATCTGGTTTATAAATCTATGTTGACCTGACCATGCTCTGACTCACCTCTCAGTGAGTTTGCATCAGGCCTGCAACACATTAGCTCTGGCCATAAATGTGTTTGACAGACTTCTACTGGGATCAAAAGCAGAGGGAAGGAGATTGTGTGTTTAGATAACTTGAGCACTGGACGTAAGCCTAAAAGACCAGCTGAGCAAAGCAAATGAAACTATCTCTCCTTATTGGGTAAAAATACAATTATCTGGCATTTAGAAATGAGTGTAAGTGCCAACGTGGACTATTCTATGTGCTACCTCCAAGAATGTACTGTATGTACAGTGCTTGTACAGTAGAGGTGCTTTAGGTTGTTTGTCCTAGAAAGGCCTCAGGATTCTGGCAAAATCCCTCAGCTTTAACCCTGGAAGTGCAAAATTTACACAACCCTTACTTAGATTTGAAGAATTTTAAGCCAGAGTAGTGACACCCATGTTGGGGTAAGAGACCCAAGATAAATATGAAGGGTTGTGCAGCGTGATCAATTTTACCTCAGCTCTACCCACTTTCTGTGATTTGGGGTTTTCTAGCACCAGTTAATGACTGTAAACTGAACTTACTGAACTGAACTTAAAACACTTGGGTGTAATAATTCTGTTTCATTTCAACCATTTTATTTACTGGGTTAATTTGATAAGACTGTATTCCAGACATGTTATTCCACTATTTAAATAGAACTATAACATCACATGTAGTAGTTTGAAATGGGGGGTATGAGTGCACAACCCAGACCCCTATAAGTTTGCCACTTGCTTCCCAGTACCCTACCGCTGAGAAACTGGTGGGTTTTGAGGTATGTTTCACACTGCGTGGGAGGGGTCTTTGTCCATGGGAGAATGAGTTTAGATGGAAACAAACTTCAAAAAGTGTTTCAAAAGCCTGCTGTGTGATGATGAGGAGCGTCATGTTGATGAGTGCGATGACTGATATCAAACAGATGATGGGGTGGTCACAAGGTTACACAACCACACTGTGATACATTGCGCTTTCAGCACACGCATGATAAAGCAAAAGTTTGTGTAGAAATGGAAAGAGGAGACTGCTGCCATTGCCTGTGCCCTCCTGTGAAGTAGCATAAAGTCAGTGATCTCCTATTGAGTGCTCAACCAATGTCGACCATTTTGATGAATACTGGCAGTTAAATTAGCATTCTTACATAATCTAGGATTGTGTATCAGGGTGTTTGTGTAACACCCATTCTTTGTATTGAATCGATTGTTGCAAATTGTGGCATGTGATCACATTTGCTTACATTATGGTCCCAGCTGGTTTCCCAGCATGTGGCAGTGGGGTCACAAGAAAATATGTTGTGTTGCTTATTTGTGGTGAAGTGGGCCAGCAAGGCTATAGAATTTTATGCTTCAGGTATTGAGGGGTTGCTGGATTTTATTTTTTAATTTTTTTGGCATTCACTAGTAGTGTCTATAAACTGTTATTTATATAAGCTGAGTGGTGTTTTTGTCTAAGTCTAAACTTTTTCAAGCTGGCTGTAGCCTCTGCCTTATGGTTAGTTGAAGCCACTTGGTTGGCATGCACAATCAAAACTATACACTCAGTTTTGTACTGTTTTGTGTATAAAACAGCAACTACATGGATTATACTTCAATGTGTGAGCAAAAATAGTCTTTTATTACCAGAAAAAAAGTATTTCCTGTGTTTACATTCTATATATGTGTGCACATGGCAGACATATTTCTTTTGGTTATGTATGTGCACAAGTGACGCACATGTAGTTTTCTGTTTGAGTTTTCCACATGATTTCAATATTATCTACCTTTCCAGTGAGCTGGAAAGAATAAGACATTTGTATAACAGCAGATTAGTCTGTCAATGTGTGTTTGTTTATACTCCAAAGATGAATGGAATTGGAAGAAGCAAATATATTTTGAGAGAGAGTATATTTATCGTACACAAAAAAGTGGAGCACAAGAACAAAATAGCGTGAGAGGAAGTTCTGCTTCTCTGTCTGAGACTGATGGTGTGGAGAAGAGCATGGGAGCGACCTTGACTTGGTCATGAGGGTGGCGTGAGTTCAGAAAGAAACAGAGGAAGAGTTTGTAATCAGTAAACAGGCTTTGAAGTGCCCTTTAGGAAGTAAACACTTACTCATGGCGCGCCATGCCATTGCAGTGCACGGCCTTGGGAGTTATGATAGAGGCAATAAAGACAGATGGCAAATTGGTTGAAAGGGAGGAGAGAGATGTTTGGACTTTGAAAATGTCCCGAATTAAAGAGAGAATTTAGACCAAATACTGTGATGCATGTTCATTTGCCGTATGGTGTTTTTGCATAGCCGTAGGCGACTTGTGAAGCGCTCATCCAAAGACTCCTGCTCTGTTTATTG